CTGTTTGAAGCTGTGAGTAAATGTGATGTATGGTACACAAAGTTGGCATATTTTATGGTTGTTACCCAACACAATATATCAATAAACTGCAGCTTATGAGCTCCATTTTATTTGTAATAAGCATTTGAACCTGTGCATTTCTTAAAAATATGGTGTCCTCATTCAGCAAACGGAGACCTTTACTGAAAATACAATCAAATAATAATGCTAGTTTTGCTACATAGTTACAATAGTTGTAGCTCATCTGCTAATGTCACAAGATGGCACCCCAATGTAGATATTAATTTACTGATGCTTTGTTTTAATGAATCACTTATCAATTCAACTTATCGAATGCATAGAAAAACATCATGGAAAGAGAGAGAGAAAATAAAAACCTGTCACAAAGTAACACACTTGCTGATACCTCTGTGAAGTTGGCACCCCATATAAATAAACTGTCACCAAAACTATACCATTCGTTTGTGCTGGTTTGGCGTTCAAGATATTAAACATTCTTTTTTTGGCTGTGTGACGTCACTCTCCACCCCATGTCATCTAAATCGTATCAGATTGGTGCCGTTCGTTTGTGCCGGTTTGTGCCATTAAAACAAACCCTGTGATTACTTTCCTTCCCGAGATATAACAAGAAGAATTTTGGGAGCAGTGACGTCACTCTCCACCCCATGTCGTTTAAATCACCCCAACGCCAAACACAGCACAAACAAATGGTATAGTTTTGGTTACAATTTATTTATATGGGGTGCCAACTTCACAGAGGTCTTGCTGATAACATTAAATGTCAATATAGAAACACTAGAGAACAGAAATTAACATAAGTACAATAATGAAGAATAATAACAATAACAGTGGCAATAGTAAGAGTAATGATTGTAAAGGAGTAAAATAAAACCCAAGAGAAAACAAACAGGGCTGTGTGTGTGTGTCAACAATAAAAAAAAAAGTTTAACTTGAACCTTAAGAATGCCAGAAATGACATTATTTAGCTGATTATTTATATATGTATTCATTCCATCCAAGTGCTGGACTTTATTGTTAACTATATATATATATATATATATATATATTAGTCTGGAGTTGATATCAGGTATTGAGTTGGCATTTGGCAGCTGTTCGACTGGAGCTACCAATATGAAGTCCAAGGAGATCTCAATGCAAGTGAAGGCTGAAAAAACAACATAAATCTATAAGAGAGATAGCAAAAACCTTAGGTGTGGCCAAATCAACAGCTGGGTACATTCTTAT